GTGTCAGCCTGCTCTGCTTCTGGCTGTAATGAGTTTTTCAGAAGTATGCTGCACTTGATGTGGTGCCGTGGCTCTGTCGCTTCCGTCCCAGCTCGCCTTTGGAAATCTGCGGGTGAGGGAGGGATGGTGGAAGGGTAGTGGGGGGAGAGAGACCACAGGAGAGCAATGCACACACAGCCAGATGCACGCACATGCAGCTCCCATGTGGTTTCCAGGCATCCAGTCCCCGGGAGGGCTCTGAACAATTTTTTTGACCCCTGTGAGCAACTGATGCTGAGCCATCATCCCCCCCAGGTGGGTGGCTGGAAATCACACTGTGCCCCCCATGCTGTGTGAGGGGGCAGTCAGATTGGCACCGCACTTTGGAGGAGCTACCTTCTGCCTGGTGTAATTGTGAATAACCTGAGTAACTACTTTCCTGGCCTGGAATTGCTCCTTGAACTGCTTTTATTATTTATTTTTTTTTTTCAGACAGTGCTCAGTGGAGACAACCACGAGATTTCCCCGACTGTTTGCTCATTTCTGCACCAGAAGCTGTAAGTCCCTCTCCCAAACCGTGAGTATTTGCCCAGAAAGGCCCTGACTTACCAGCACAGGCTCTTTGCTCTGCCCAAGCTACTTCTCACTGGTGTTAGTGGGATTGCAACCAGATTTTTGGGGGGGGGTCTGCTGGGAAACTCCATCCCTAGCCCACTCCTCCTGTCTCTGCTGAACCAGCTGTGCCCCGGGTACCCCTGCAGTGCCTGTGACTGCAAGGGATCCCCTGGCACAGGAGGGAGCAGAGTGTATGCACACCCCATACCTTAACTCATACCATATGCATGGGTTTGGCATTTATCTTGGGTCTTCCTGCCCACGTATCACACGTGGTGGGTCTGCTTTTGTGCAGATCCACGGAGCCAGGCATGGTGCCATGTTCAGGAACAGGCAAAACACCAGTGTCTGGTGTTTGTGGATGCCACCGGAGTAGGAACCTGTGTGGACATCATCTGTGTGAATGAGATAGAGCAGTCCCCTTGCAACTTCTGTCTTTTAGGATGTTTCCTTTCCTTCCACCGCCAGAGAGCTTCTGTTGTATTGCTCACACTGCACTGAGCTGGTGTTTGACATGTTTTACCCCACCGTGAGTGTTTCTCGCGTCTGGGTATGGATGTGAGACCCTTTTCCGTGGTGACTCTAAAAATCTCTACATTTGGGGGTTGGGAAGACAAAAGCCAATTAAATATAACCCTTGTCACAGCTGTAAATTAGATACTATACGAATTGTCACAGTAAATGAAATCCAGGTTTTGGCTGCTCTGCTGTTTTATCAAGGCATTTAAGTAAGTAAATGTCTTTTCCATATTGAAAATGCTGAGGTGGTTCGTTAACCGATTAAAAGAACATGTTGGACTTGAATGCGCTGCGTGGTGCTAACTGAATAATCAAGGTAAGCGGGGATCTTTCCAATTCTCAAGCAACAAAATTCAATTAGATGGGAGAGATTCAATTATGCTTTAAAGGGAACCTGGCCACGAGTGTGTAGGATATGGCAGGAAAACGTATGCAAAATAATTTCATGGAAAAGAGCAATTACTTTATCAATAGGACATGCAAAATGAAATTTGCTCATCAGTCCTGAATAGAAGCCCAAAAAACTGAGCCTTTTAAGGAGATGATACGTGGGTCAGAATGGGTTTCAGCCAAAGATAAAGGCTGAGAGCATCAAGCAGGTTTGAGTGAGTTTGATTGATTTCTGTGCAGTTATCAACTGAGGCTTTGGTCCAGTGACTTCATATTTGGCCTTGGATAACGGCTGTTGTAACAAAGATGTAGGACTTTGGCAGCAAGGGTATCCCAATCCCTCTTCGTTAAGATAAAGTTTTTAGAAATTGAATTGGTTTTGAGTCTGAAGATGCTGGTTCTTCCTCTCCCAGCATCTCTGCATAACGTTACTTCAATGAAAAAAGCACAGGGAAAAGTCAAACACTTTGCAAAAGAACACAGACATTTGAATTTAATAAATTATAAAATTAAAGATTCTAATTTGTATATACATTTTTAATATACAAGAAACGGCTATTTATTGCAATTTCTGTTAAGGCATATGTAAGTGATTGGAAGTTGCATATAGATATTCAGATGAACATAGCTAATACTGTGCATTGTAGGTGAGTAAATAAGACATTAAATGCATTACGTAATAAAATAAAACATAAAACCCTTTGAGTACTGGTAAAGCACCATTTCTAGAATTCTCAAAATATCGGAAAGCATTCTATGGAGATGTTGTGAGACTCTAAATATTGAATGGATATATGAATATAAAAAGTGATGCATTCATAATAGATTACAGAAATTTTTAAAGGAATGTGGGTGAAAAAAATGGCAGCAGATTGGAGCCAAAGGAACCAGAATTGGTTTGGGATGTTTGTGTTTGGTTTTTTTTTTCCTGAGGGGCTGTTACTTGGATTTTAAGTTTAGACAACCAGAAAAATGACCATTTAGAAAGCTGTGTACTTGCATGGTTAGATTCCAAACCTCATTGCTTAATGGGAGCACATTGCTTTAGCTCTCAGAGTGCTGAGACAGGCTCTGCAGGAATATGTTTACTTATAAATCTGCTTTAGTTTCTGAGGATTAGGTTACGTTAAACTACCACTCTCTGCTCATTGTATCTCAAAATGCAGTACCTGGGCAACAGCAAAATGGTTACAGAAGACACACTACGATGACGCTCTTGCCCAATTACAGTATTGTCGAAAAGAGGAAAGAGTTCAACCAATCAAAAAATGACCAAAATTTCCACTGCATGACAAGGAATGAAGATCAGCTGAGAGCAAAACCCCACCTATTGCCTTGGGCTGCTGCTTCTTTATCAGCAGAACTTTGCTCTGTGGTTTCCAGTAGAAGTGAGGTACGTGTTCTTAGGAAACCACCATCATGGGGAACTGCTGAAAAAAAGAACCCCTTCTGAAAAACTGATGCCAGCTTGAAAAGAAGGCATCTTTCCTGGTCTGAAGAAACTTTTTCTTTCTCCTCTCATGCAGCAAGGCTGCAAAGAGAAGGCAGCTGGTGGCTCTGCTCCGTAAGGAGATGGACCAGACTGTATCCATCAGTGCCTCACTGTCTTGAGCAATCTAGACTGAAGCTGAATCATTTCAGTATTCCCCAAACAACAGCTGGAGAAATCGTAGAATTAAAACCAGCGAGAAATAAATTAAACTAAATCTCCCAAAAGGTGAGACTGAGAAGGGAGCAAGCCCTTCCTAAATGCAGATGCCACTTGGCATCGCACTGGGTCCCGAATGAACACCAGACCTAGGGTAGCACCACACCAGCCTTCTGGAAGGCTGCTCCTGCTCCAAGGTGCAGCAGAAGTTTCCACCTTATCTGGAAAAATGCTTTTGGTTTGTTTGATTGCAAACTGACTTAAACTGGAGAAAGAACAAAGCACTCGAGTTTCTGAACTCCGAACTGGCTTTCCAAGTTTCCAAGCCAGGGTGTCCATGCTCTGTGTGAGTGAGCAAACCCCTGTGACTGACCTTGCCCAGCCTGCAGCAGTCCTGGCCACTGGAAATGCTCCACACGGAACCACCCAGTCCTTTCCAAACGTTGGGTCTCTGCACTGGAACAGGCCTTTCCTTGGCCTGTTTACAGAAAGGTCACTTGAAGTCGCACCAAATAAATTCCTGCCCCGCTTGCTATTGGGACACAACTGAGAAGTCCTTTGGACAGAAGAGGCTATTTGTAAGACAGCATTTGAGCTGTGGGCATTTCTTCACATTCCCATGTTGACTAAGCCTGTTCCTGATGCTAATGAAGAACAGAAGCTATTAGGTGAGTTATCTCAGGATTCCGGAGGTCAGAGAAATGGGTCTCCACAAAGTCCCAGAGAGTCAGGCTGGTACCATACAGGCAGCAAGCTTTGACCTCTCGACCCGCATACCATCAAGCCCCAAACTCTCTTTATCCTGGGGTTTGTGAGGGTTTTTCCTAAGTTCACCATAGGCTTGGACGTGCTTCTAGGCTATGAAAAAGCCAGGGCTTGTGGTTTATTTTTTACTGCCCACAGAGATAAAAGCAGAATAATAACTTGAAGGGGAAAAGATGAGTTTTACACAAACCACATCTGGGTAAAGGAAGTGTGGAAGGCAAGAAATACTCACTCTGTCCACAGGCTGGGAGCCCAGCTACAGCTTGGCACAGCAACTGGGATGATGTTGATTTAGACATGTCTTCCTCGCTAATAAGTAGCATGGTGGGGTTTTTTTTCCCCTTCAGTGCTCACTACTACACTGCTCTGATTTGCACAGATGTGGCCTGACCCTGTGCTGTTACTAAAGCTTGTCCTGTCTTTTGGTGGCCACAAATGGCTCCTGGGGCCATTGCTGGGCTTGCCCAGGGCTCTGTAATGGCAGGCAGGCCCTGGAGTGGGGCTGGGGCAAACAAAGGCTACCATGTGGGCAACTAAAGACAAGCAACCTTCAACTGCTTGATGTCTCACAAATTAAAGCCTGGGGTGAGACTCCTGCCACTGCCCCCGCCAGCTGCTGCTCAGCGCTGCCAAGCTGCGGAGCTTTGGTTTTACTTTTCAAAAGCAGAACAGATTACTTCGTTGCTTGCGCTGGCTGCTGATTTCACATCTGCAGCCACGTCTGCTTGGCCCAGGAGATGTTTCCTAGCACTCTGGACCTTTACCAGGACTCTTATGCTTCCAAGTCTTCATGGTCTTCAGTGTAACTCCCACCCCTGTACCATCTGAGCTGGTCCTAAACGCTCCCTTAAGTGTATCACCTTCGTTCTCTGTAAAAAGGCATGTTTGATGCCATCACACCAGCCGAAAATATTTCTTCTCTGCTTTGGCGAGTATCTTCATAAAGTATTTTTCTTAAACCAGGTCTTGTCCTTCAAAGACTTCTGGCCACAGGCCAGAGCAGTTCAACATCTCAGTGCTCCTGCAGGCTCTCACCTCCTTTCCAGCAGGACCAGCTTGTTCTGAAGAGACTGGGCAGCTCATTCCACCGTGGTGGTGGAAGGCAGAAGGCAGGGTTGCAGGAAGCCACACGTGGTTCACCTTGCGACACTTCTGAAGCTCTTCGCCAGCAGCCAGGCCACAGAAGAGGTTACACATTGCTGGAAACTCAGCACATTTCCCACCATTAGGTGACTGTACACACAGGATTAACGACTGGCGCCGCTTCAAACGAAGACCAGCTCAGGCTGGAGAATGAGATCTTATTCTCAGACTGGAAAATCTGAATTAGGAGCCATCAGACCTACCTACTGGTAAAAGGAGGAGTTCAGGGAAGCCCTGCTCTCTGCAGGAGGTTTACCAGCAAAGAGGAAACAAATGGAAGAGTCCAAGCTGGGAGACAGAAGGAAAACTGCTCAGATGCCACCCGCAGCAGGAACCAGTGCGGGCCAATCTGTGGTGTTAGGGCCAAGCTGAACTCATCTTCTGATCGCCAACCAGGAACTCAAAATGAGCTATGAAAACCACGATGACCCTGAGGGGAAAGGAAGTACTCAAAGGGTTGTCAGGTGACACCTCCTAAGGTTTCTAGCAGACCTGGTACTGTGCGTACACGTGTATGTGTGTGGATGTACGTGTCTATATAAGGGCAATTGTTCACTTCTGCACCAATAAAGCTGTCCTAAGGAAAGGAAAATAATACAAAATTATTTCCTCTGAAATAACCTCATCCTATGGGAGGAAAAGAAAAAAAAAAGTTTTCTTGACAAAGCACCAAAGAAAAGACAACAAGAATCCAGTCATCTTTAACTTAAACAGTATGTGGGTAGAAAAAAAAACCAGACCAACAAAAAAAAGCACCAACCAACAAAGATCACTGAGGCTGTTGCATTGCAGGAACTTAATGACTATCAAAAATATGGATAATTGTAAACAGAAAGACTAGGATGTTGTCAAGTCCAAGTTGGCTGGATCTACCCTACTAAAAGTCTTGCAATTATTCCAAAGTTTTGGAGAATCCTTTGAAACTGTTTATGGAAATATGTAAACTACTGTTTGCCAGTTGTTGTTTTTTTTAATTTACACATAAATACATGGCTACAGAATTTTCTGTATATTTTTCTTATGCAGTCCCGGTTAAGAAAGCTCTGAAAGCACATGCCTGGCTGTGAGCACAGGAGCAGCTCTGCTAAAGTCAGCGAGACTCAGCCTGGCACGTCCTTAAGTACCTTCCTGAACCGGGGGCTGAGTTAGTGCCCGGGTTTATGCAACGCACAGAAACATCACAGCATCTGTGACCGCCTGCTTGTCGGTGTCAGAGGGATTTATTATGTCTTGGGACTGTTTTCCTCCATCCTAAGTGTAACTCCCATTACTATTCCCAAGCACAGAAGACTTTAAAGAGCCCATAAACAAGAAACCTGCTAACCTGGCCTAGGTATTACGGCTTGTTTGGATTCAGTGAAAGGCTGTAATGATATTGCACTAATACTCTACCGTACCCTGTAAACCTAGCCATTAAAGTCTTCAGATTAGCACTTATGAAACAATCTGTCATTTCCATTTATAGTAGGCTTTAGAATTTGGCATCTCTGCCATAGCACCACTTTGATTTTTCCCCATTTTTAGTCTCTACGACATGGGCAATATTATGATGTTGGTAACATCTCTATAAGAGAAAAATGTTGCTTGTGCCATATTTCCATTTTAGTTTATTTTCCTAAGAGTCTCTTTTTTCCTTTTCTCAGCAATCAGCTCCTGAATTCTTTGATTCCTTGTCCTTTCATAAGGTATCCTCCTCCGTGTAATGATGTTGTGCTGTGACACTTCGTTATCCAGCCCATCGATTTTATAGGGAACATCCACCGCATTGATTTCTGGGTGCTCCTCGGTTGCGTTGGAAGGAGGTGCACGTGTTTTGGAAACGGGAGGAGGGCTGGTGGCAGACTGTGTGGTGGACACTCCCGTGGGAGGGCTGAGGGTTGTCAGGAGCTCCTCCTCAATGACATTATTCTTATTTACGTTAGAATCAGTTACATTGCCATCCTCTGTTATGTTGCTGTACATATTACAGGACTTGCAACACAGCTTATTGTAACCAGGAATGGAGCAGTAACGGGAGAGAACCTCCATGCGACAAAACATTGACTTGTCTCCTTGACAATGATCTTCTGAAAGAGAAAAAGGGAACAGATAAATAAAGAGCATCTTCACATTAATCAGAAAAAGAAACACAGCTGAAGCTTTGGCAGTGGGCAGAGGGTTTGGTATTTAAAGTGAGATGGGAAACTGGGAAATGAGCCTTCTATAAGCAGAAGCAGGCTTAATATTAACTAAAACTCAACTCAGTCCAAGGGATGCAAAAGCTGATCTGAACTCTTTGTACCTGCCCCATCCACGCTGGGCCATAACACTGGCTTCACATTCTGCAAGTAGTACCACAAAGACCATGACGTCTGGTCCTGCCATGGCTTAGAGTTCAAAACACACCAGTAGTGCCTTCTTGTTGCTAAAGCTACATTAAGCCCCCCAAAAGTCATCAAAGTTTATATTGAGAAACCTCTTCTCCCTCCTCATTTCTTGTTGCTAAAGCTACATTAAGCCCCCCCAAAAGTCATCAAGGTTTATATTGAGAAACCTTTTCCCCCTCCTCACTCCTTTTAATGCTTTTCTGCAATCTAACAGTGACTAACCACGGTCAGGGGTAGTTTATATTTATCTGAACTGTCTCAAGCAGTCAAATCTGTGCTTTTCTGCAATCTAACAGTGACTAACCATGGTCAGGGGTAATTTATATTTATCTGAACTGTCTCAAGAAGTCAAGTCTGATTTCTATGTGTGCCATGTAACTCTCAGAATTAATCCATCTCCCATTGGAGTGGTTTTTTTCACCAGGTACCTCCACTCTGAAAACAGCAGCGTTGCCTGAGCACGTCCCTTGCTTGAGAGAAAAGCAGTGCATTTTGCAAAAGGCTTTTCTCCTCCTCCTGAAAGGGAGCTGATATTTTTCAGGACAACAAACTCCAGTGCGATGGAGCCAAGCCAGTCCACTGGTGACTGGGAGACCCAGTAACAAGTCCTGATTTTTGTGTCACTGACCAAAAAACTGTAATAAAAGAGACAGAACAATAACTGACATGATTTAAGCTGTCAATAGCTGTTAGGACAATCTGCGCTATGATACAGGTGTTATGGCAGATCCTGATCTTCCTGAAATACAGGTGGCAAAAGGTAGGTGAAGGGGTTAAAGGGAGCTGGTCAAACTGTTTTACTGTCTGAGAAACATTAACAGACGTCTCCTGAGAGATTACTCAAGCCCTTGTGGTTTCTGCTCAGAGGAGGTACAGGACAGCGGGTATTGGCAGCAGATGGATGGATGGATGGAGAAGGGCTAGCAAGCTTGGAGAGAGGGCTACCTGTCCTCTGTCCTACATACACACTCTACAACTCCCGTGCCTTGGGGCTGAAGCGATGGGGCCAGGAACAACTGGGAACTGCAGTGAAGGAAAAAATCCCAACACAGCCCATGCTGAAAGAAAGAGGAGTCAGAGGGCTTGCAGGAGAGGAGAGGGCGAGGAGAAAGGCTGCCCGACCAACACTTGGCATAATTGGTAACAAAATATTTTTCTCTGTGACCAGAGTGCTGAGCCACAGATGAAATCACTTCTGCCTCTCTCCCTGCTCTTACTACATTTCCACCTCCTCTTACAGTAAAGGATGAGTAACCCAATTACTCGCCTTTATTTAGCGCGTACCGGGTGGCAGACAGCGTCCCCCAGTCACCTCTTACTGGGGCTCATCCCACTGCCAACACTGACTTACCCTGTCAGCAACCTCACAGCAAAGGAGAGAACCAGAGCAGATTCAGAGATACCGAGTGAGCTCAGACAGCGTAGGTGTTGCTTCCCCACTCATCCTCAGTTAACAAAATAGGGCATTATAGGTGTTTAATTGGCAAACATATCAGTCTAAAGTAAACCAGCAACTGGTGCTGCTGCTATAAAATGCTAGTGGTGGCTGAGGAAGGTGGAAACACCTTCCATCCATTGTCTTTATGCCCCAATTGTTGCATTTGTTGCAGAAAAGTAAAATTCTGGTTCCTATTTTGAAACGTGTCAATTCGTTTTCGTATTTTTCAAATGCTAAATTCAGATGCTGCTGGAAAAAAAGAACAACTCCTGCCTTAGGAACCTAAGAATAGTGCCTTGGTTTTAAAGACGTTTTCAAACCAGTCTTAAAGAGCTGGAATTGTTCATATCTGCATGCACAACTCTACACAAAGGACTGCACGTGCCTATAGAGCCTTATATACTTCTTACATACCAGGTAGGGTCCCCTTTGAACATTTTGCCTGGTGTTGCATGACCTTAATGCAAGCTTCTCCAAACGGCTTGCAAAATAAAAGCCAAAAGACGTAGTTTAAACAAGGCAGATCTGTTCTTGGCTTTGTAAGAATCACTAAAAGCCCCTTTAGAAAAATGCCTTTTTTTTTTCCTATCAAAAATATGTAACATCAAGTTTAAAAACACATGAAAATAAAACTGCATTATGTAATATGTTTGGTGACATCTGATAAGTTATATAAATAAACTCTCTAACTTATGAATGTTAGAATGAAATTCTCATCCTCTAGCCAAGCCAAAATATCCAGATTTACTGAACTTTTATTTATTTTTACTTGCAGTATGCATGACAGACTGGAAGTATATCTTCAAAACATCAGTAAGAAAAAAATAAATCAGTTTCACAGTCACTTTGGTACACATTAGTCTCATAAAAAAATATTGAAAAGCAAACTGAATTGGCACATCTTTAATATTATGTTAAATACATACAAAACACTAATAAAATATCCCTGATAAACCAAAGTGCATATAGACATAGTGCACAATGCCCAGATACCTTATTGCACCATTCTCTATAGCCACCCATCTCTTGAAACATCACTAAACATTGTCTATTTAAAGGTAACAGTCATGAATATATTTATACAGTTAAACACCAATTATTTTACATAACAGTATTCAGTGCCAGATACGTGTCTTTGCTTTTTCACCTTGTCATGTAAATTGTTAACATGTTTCAGGAAATTATCATATTAACAGCAAAATTTAAATATGTGATCACATGATAATGACAAGTTTGAAGTGCTACACTGTTGAAGACCCAAAGATTCAAAAATGCCACTTTTCCAAAGAACATGATCAATGCAATAAGGTAGTAATTTGCTCCAAGACTGCAGCTTTAAAGTTGATACGCTTCTACTATTGGTACTGACTGTCACAAACAGGTTTATGACTTGTGAATTCCAAATCTCCAACACAAACACAGAAGGTGAAGCAAGAATTCCAGTTAAATTTCAGTAGGTTAGGTCACAATCCTGTCTTGATGAAGATATGGATATGCACTGTGCAAATTAACCTCGGATTAAATTTACTGCCTTCCAATAGTTATCATTCAAGTAAAAACACTCCATATGAAGATTAACTCAAGGTACCAGTGTACTGTTTATATTTAAAGCTGGATCTGGTAAATTAATGCCATTTACATTTCAACATTAAGGCATTTTTCTAAAATTCTTCTTCTAAGCGAAAAAAGCAATAAAAATTGAGGTAATTCTGTAGTAATTCACACTGTTATGTTTGCCAGTTGACACATCTATAGAGCATACACACACACGCACACATACAACCGTACCACTCAAGTCAGACATGCACATGGTGAAAAAAGACCAAAGATGTAATGAGTATAAACAGCTCCATGCTGAGCAGCTGGAGACATCGTTGTCGATGAAAACATCGTATTGCCTCCGCCAGGTTAAGAAAAACACCACCACGCAACCTTCACCGTGGACCACGCCTGTTCTGCTTCAGTTTTGTTTCTAAAGTGAACGTTCGCAAAACTGGCAGAAAATTGTGCAACGGGAAAAACAAATGCAGCTTTTCGCAAGGAAAAAATATGTCAAACCACCGCCAGGAGTTTGGCGAGAGCAGGCGGTGTCATAGCAGCATGGAAAGTACCAACAGAAATTGAGCTTCTGCTTCCCAGTGAGCCCTCCATGGGTTAGAAACATAAACGTGAGGGTCAGGAATAAAAAATGAGCAGCAAGGGTGAGGAAAGCAATGGCACCGCAAAGGAAAATGGAATGGAAAAATTCTTTCACTCATCAGACTACCCTGTCGGCGAACTGAGACTAGAGAGCTATGAGATTTAGGGCTTTTAGATAAAGGAGAACTTTAGCACTACAAGGTGTCATTATTGTGATGTGATCACATTCACAATAAGTTCTCAGTTTTGCTATCAAACTGAACATCATGAACCAGTAAGAGCCTTTTTTCACCATCACCAAGCAACAAGCAAACCGATCCCAGCTCCCTTTCGGAGGACTGCAACATACCGTGGAGATCCAACTTCACACATCCAACACTTCAAGACCTCCACCACCAGTGCTACGCAAGCTCCAGAGAAGAAAGACACCGAGCACCAAGTGCCTGGTGTGAAAAAAAGATTCAGCCCAAGATTTAAACTTGGCAAAGTCAAGGGAACTTTCCGCATAGAGAGAAGAAGAGAGCAAAAGGCAAAGTCCACATTCGATGTGGCATGCATTTAAGGGCAAAGGCAGAGTTATAAATGGGTCTTTTACTTGAAGATATTTTCTGGATGGGGTAGTCTGGATCAGGTCTTGACAGCCATTGTATCATGTAGGTTTTCTTCGAAGGGTCAGAAACATTTCCTTGAATAGAGGGGAAAAAAAGAAAAAAGATGTAACACAACATGTATTAGCAGCAAGTAGTTGCCCTGTCAGAAGGTGATAAACCAAGAGAGTGAGTGGGTTCTGATGGTGAAGGAGCTGGGGAAGGACTATGACCAGGCTGTGCAGTTTTGGGCAGAGGGTGCTGTTTAGCCAGTTTGCTACAACTCGTGCCTCAGACTTGAAAGCCAACACTGAAGACAGCCCAAAGGCCAATTTTCCAGCAGTGTTTCTCACAGCAGCATTAAGTATGACCTAAGATACATCCCGTCTAGTTTAGCTATAATGCCTCTAAAAAGGCTTTGTATTGGAGACCGTAATTAACAGCTTGGTTCTAATTAATTAGGAATCAAAAACTACCCTGAGAAATACATCTGGAATAAAAGAAAAATATGAATTACTTAGTACTAGAAATATGTAAAATGATCTCACAAGTATCATTTGTAAACAACTGAAAAGCTAACGAGGATAAAGGCATTAGTGTCCTGGATTAACTAGGGACAAATTTATTATAGCTTAAAAAAAATTAGTTGGATAACCCCCTGAAGATAACCTGTGCTTGACAGAATGGAAAAGAAGCCTGGGACTGTTGCTGGAGGTGGGGAATGCAAAGAGGCATCTTTAACATGATGCCATTGATTAGCCACAACCCACCAGCCTCCTGCCGAGCCCAGCATGTCTCAGAGGAGCAGGACTCCAGAGGAGTTGTCATCTGCTGGCTGGACCCAGCCATCAGCACTCTCCTGAGGTCTGCCCCAGCTTCTCATGCTGCCCTGGGGCAAGTGGTGCTCCCCACCACGAGAAAAGAACAACCGCATGTCCAAGAAGCCCATCAGCCACACAACAGCTCTACAGTTGGAAAGTCTGCTCAAAACCAGGGCTGTGGAGAACTGCCACCCCAGGCAGATGGAGCACACAAGTATGAATTCAATGAAGGCATTTAAAATAAAGGCACACAAGTATGAATTCAATGAAGGCATTTCAAATAAAGGCAATAATTATTTTTTTTCAGCAAGTAATATATGCTAGAGAAGACAAGCACTTACTTGGACATGGAGGTAGTCTGCAAATCCTAACAGTCTCTGGTTTATTGTCCTTACAAAGGCCAATAGCATTGTCCCTGGTCCGGCACAGGACTGGGCGATCCTGCGTCCCATTGCCACAGCTGACAGAGCACTGAAAGGAGATGCACCAGTAAGACCCCAGTCACCACTTGGAAACAATCGAGTAGAAATTATGTTTTAAATTTTAAACCACTGCCCTTGATTCAAGCTGACACAGTACATTATCTAAACATTTAGTACCTATGGTAACTAAGAAGGAGCACCACTGCTTTTGGGGGGTTGGACTAGATTTCCGGAGGTCCCTTCCAACCGCTTGTGATTCTGTGATTCTGCTTTTTGTGATATATCAGTAGTTCCAAGAAAGAGTTTACAATCTGAGCAGTAGAGAAACAATTGCAAATGTGAGGAGTTAATTCCCAGTGTGCACCACAGGTGGCCTTCACATCTAAGACGCTCCCACCTTTGAATCTCCATGAGTGTTGGTACCTAACTTCCTTAGTGCCCTTAATCACAGCATCTGAAGACTTTAAAGTCTTCTTTACTTGAAAGAAAATAAGTGATAAAAAGAGTTAATTGCCCTTCTCTCAAGCTTAAGTCAATGATTGTGAGCAGGTAGAATTCAGCTTTCCTGATGCTGCCGCCCCAGATGGGTGGATCACGGGATCTGGATCACCCAGCATCACTGCAGGATGGCTCCACTGGCTCTTTCATCACCACCATCTCTCCATCAAACTCACTTTCTGTGGCATTCGTTTGGTAGCAGTGAAAGCAATACACCCTCCTGTAGGTATTAGTTTAGTGTGTCAGTGCATTTGAATAGAAAGCACAGAACAATTGCCAAGATTTTCTCCCCTGAATTATAAGAAATCAGTTGCTTGAGACCTCCAGCAAGAGACCGACCTGTGACCAGGGTCCTATTCTCCACTGCGCTGGGCAAAGCTCCCGGTTGCAAGGCCTCCTGCCCTCTGGACGGTCGTTGTTGCAGTACTTGGTATGAACAGACCGATTTGTGTTATCGTGCAGGGGTTGGATGCATCGGACAGATCGGACTTGATATCCTGTTTTCCCACAGCTTTTGCTGCAAGGCTCCCATTCTCCTGTAACCCATCTGGGGTGGCAAAAAGAGAAGAAGTTGAGTAAAATGTTCTCTCTCCTAAATTAGGTGAGTTCAGACTGTCTGTTGAACTGTAACTCTTAAACAAAGGTTTAACGGGATGTTAATACTAGTTCCGATACGGAAAATAAAGAAGATATGAAAAACCACCAGCAGATTAGTGAGAAAATAAAGAAGATATGAAAAACCACCAGCAGTTTCTTGAGGGGGTTTTGATCATGTCCTGTTTCTCATTATCTCTGAGATTAGCATTATTCTTTGCTTCTTTTGCTTTGATTTTAAACTGGCCCTTCCAAGACTGCACACAAAAATACAGTAGTTTTTAAGTCAAAAGCAGCCACCCAAGGGTGCTGCTGAGCTTCCCACGTCTCAGTGCATGAGCTGTGCTTTGTCTCACAATGTAGGGAGACCTGAGCTACAGCCGGCTCCCACAGCAGGGAATCCAAAACATTTGGGCTAGAAATGGAGCTCCAGCCTGGCCCATATATGGACACTCCACATGGCTGGCCATGCTGGTCACCATCTGCTGAAGCACTGGGAAACCCAGCTATGCCATCGGTGCTGTGTGTCCTGAGCTCGGGCAAACTGGGGTCCTCAGCCTCATAAACGTTTAGTCATGGGGAAAGCAACACTCCACTGAAAATCATGAATTCAGACCTTCTAATGTGTAAATCAGTTTGGCCACTGAGAAATGAAACCCACGGCTTGTAATGTGGTGTAGTTGAAAACTTCGTTGATCATTCAAACTGGCTTAAGAACTACAGCTACAAATTCTATGGAACTTCGAGAAGAGCAACAAGGACAGACAGGACCAAAAGAAATTTATGTAGACTGCTGAAAGCTTGGTCATAATCAAGTAAGTGAAGATATACAGCAGTCTATAAATATTTACATAATGCAGAGATCTGCAAGAAGGAAATGCTGTTCAATGTAAACAGTATTATATGATAAACTTTAACAAAAAAAATATATATAGTCTGAAGAAATATCCTGAGTTTGAAGCAATTGTACTAAAGTACTGATAAAATCCTGGGTTTAGAAATAGTCAAAGCACAAGGCAATGCACTAAATGTTCGAGTTAAATAAAAAGTGAAGTGGCAATTGCACCCAACTTTCTCTTTGTAGCCTATTGAAACTACACAGCTGCGGAGGAAGGCGAGCGCTGGGGAGCACAAAGCCATGAATTCCAAGGTGATTTCTGAGACAAATACAATTTTTTTTCCCAACAGTGAAGAAGTAGCATATTAGTGTAGTGGGTGTCACAGAGCTTCATAAAATCTCTTAAATAATTGCCTCTCCTCTCTACAAGTGCCGATGCCATTCTATGGAAACAGAGGTGACTGAAACATGCAGGAATCCAAGTACAACTTAGGATCCTATTGAGTCTTTGTGGTACCTGGGTCCAATTATATTTGCAGCTGAAAGAAGAATACAGTCCTTTCCAGAAAGCCTGAGATAGTTAGGTCATTACTTCAGTCTTCCAATAAATAAATGTTAAACCCTGACCCGTGCTGAGTTTATGGGGCACAGCTTCTTGACTTTTCTCTATTTCAATGTTTTTTGGTAAGGAAGTTAGGAAATATTGTGTGGTATGTTCTACTTATTTGCTGTGCTTCTTGGAATCTCAACTTGGTCCCCAGAGATAAAAGCTGGGATCAAAATACTCCTTCCCTGTTGCAGCAGCAACATGAGGACTATATGAGTCCCACATGTGGCTGGAGTAACCTGCTGCCAGTCAAAAAAAGCACCTGTAAAATGTGAATTTAAGTACTTATAACACTTGACTGGATAGCAAAGGTGAAGGAACAACAGGCATACCATGCTGTACGAGGGCAGCCAGAGAAATCTAACAGGTCAAATATTTTTCCCTGGGTTTAAATGTCAAAAAGTACACAGTGAACTTTAGAAAGATTGTGTTTGAGAGGCTGCACGACATTGGTTTGCTTATGTAGCACTCTGTAAATTTGTTCTTACATGGTTAATTCACACTGTGTAAAATCGACTGGCATAAATTGAATTTATGTCTATTTTTTATTACCTCAAGATGTCCTGAACACAAATGTCTGGATCAAGACAGCACTTCTTTTCCAATACAACTTATTTCAGAAGTAATAGGAACCAGCAGTCCTAGAAATAGTATTTCTACAAGCAGAATATAGTATCACACCCTCACAGTCCTGCGCCTCTAATGATGGATGGAGGTGAAGCTGAAGTCACCTTCTTTCAGGTGACAAGTGCTAGCTGGGTACAATGCCTGCTGCCTCCCAGCAGTGCTGGTGGGAGCAATGCTTACATGGGCTGGGAGCACTCCTGGAGGTTGCACACCCTGCGGATGGGCTTTGGCTTTTGGATCAACTCGCAGTAACTCCGATGAACCATCTTGTGGTCTGCCTTCCTCCGGCAGCCGTATTTCGTGAACTGGTAGCCTGGAGAAAGAGACTCCTCTTATTTTCAGTACTGGTAGATCGTACACAGGACTCAGAACAAACTGCAAAGGTTACAGTTGGAACTACAGCTTAACACACTGCAAGAGGAACTGTAAATTGCACTGAATAAACACTTCCTCGTGTTGATTTAGCACCCAGAATTGCTCATACCCTTTATGTTTCACTACAAGCTATAATGAGAAAAACAACAACATCTAGCATTTAAAAAACCTTCTGCAAACCTGTACAGCCCTGCTCATCAGCTGCAGCTTGACCCTCAGCCTGGTGAACGGCATCAGGGTCTCCATGTGGCCCCAAAAGCAGGGGGCTCACACTGCAAGGTCCACACCATGGGATGCAGATTTCCTAAGGGCTGCCCTGTGGCACTTTGAGGTTTGGCACCCTCACAGCTCGGAGACCCTCATCCAAATCTTGCACGTTTGTACAATTTTTCAGTTTCATAAACATAAATCAGAAATGAGCCACCCCAGATCTCCCTCCAAAAACATTTAAATCTGATTTCAAACTCCATTCACTATTTGTTTATCTATTTCTTAACCTAAATAATAGCCTCTCATACTCCTGGTCTCCCTAATGTCTTGTGACAATGAATTCCACACGTGGTGTTCATTCTTTCAGTTTTCTCTTAATCAATTTTGAATGCTCTGGGGTTTTGTTTTTACCTCCTCCACAAGGTTTTGAACATTGGGACCATTTCTTCAAAGCCCATTCATATGACACCGAGTCCTCTTCCAAGACATTATTGTTATCAACATTCAAGGAATCTTCATGGATCATGTACTTGTAAGTCAAAGATATCTTGGCACCACCATGAGGAATCACCTAGTAAGAAAAACAGATGTAAGGAAGAAAGATATGGAAGACTGATATCAGAAGCTATGTGAGACGACGTGAAATAGCAATCATCATGGCTCAGATATAAAAACATCCCCGGAGGGATTTAAACCTTTTAGCTGCACTCAACACATTTTTTTTTCCCTGATGAAAAAGTATCTCTGTCCTTATGACACAGAGTTTCTAAACTGCATATTAAGAAAGACTGTTGTTGATTTAGACTGATTTTTCTTGCCAGCATTGGACTGACTTCATGATACTAAATTTTTTCCATATCCCATCATAAAGGAAGGAAATGTTGTACTCAAATGAAAATGGATAGTTTCACTAAAAGACAAGGCAAACTCAAATGCACAGATAACTGAAAGCAGTGAAGAAAATTGCTTATATTTCTGATAAAACACAAATATTCTTATGATAATCCTGGGAATTCTGTGAAGCTTGCTACTTAATCCTGACAGAAATATAAACAATAGAAAGAGTTTTTGCTATCACACTGCACTAAGACAAATGCACAAAACCAGAACTCAATCTGAGTAAAGTGCAAATTATTGGTCCTTTGAAAACATAATATTTATTCCTCCTTTGACGTTCAGCTGGTGTAGATCAACACGTTACAGCTGCTTTCAGAGGGATTCCAAACCAATATACCCCTACTCATGGCAATCTCTTGGTTGCTGGCTTGCAATAAAAGAAGAATATAGTTGGGTGGGTTTGGGAAGTGCAGAACTGGCTGTGCCCTGACAAAGTCAGCCTGAAAACACAAGAATCCTGTGTCTGCCTCCACGGGATACATTTTCAAAACACGGACGGGAGGAGGAGCTATTAGATCTAGCTGATACAAAATATTTTGACCTTTGGTTAACTAATGCTCACGTGTCAGATATGATTAGTAAGCTGGAGATTCTCTACGCAGTGGCCATTTGCTAGGCCATCCACAGGAAATAATCAGGAGAGTTAGTTGCTCAACACATAACCCTGAGTTGTAACAGCTCTTGTACAGAGCAATGAATTAGGAGATGGGAATTAAAATACATCTTCCATTGTCTTATAATTGAAGCAGATGTCTTCTTGTAACTCACAAGAGGAATCTAATATATTTTATAGCACATTATGGCTCCGTACCCCTGACATTGTGTTCTGTAGAAGATGGTTTTCATTTGACTTACCAGAATAACTATTCCATGACGCAGTGGCCCCATGGTCTGCACGGTTTCTCTATCGTCGTCATTCCGATACTCCCACTCCACACCCATGTCAATAAATACTTTAGAGTCTGGCACATAGTTGTCTTCGCTTAGAATGTATTTCCCCGTTTCACGATTTTTAATTGCTAGGAACAACAGAAGAAAAGTGAATACGAGAAATCTGCTTCTCATCTTGATTTTTGTTCTGCTCTTGTCCCACTGGAAGAAGCAGGAAAGGCCAGTGTGCACTTTCCCTCTGTTCCCTCACAGGTTTGGAAAGACTTTTTCAGGTGTTTCACTGAAGTGCCAACGCTTTCCTGCTCAGCTCCGGGAACATCAATCGCCCTTTTTTTCCCTTTTTCATAGCCTGCCTCGCCAGAGAAATGAGGCCAGCGTGACTGCGCCGCGTGCGGCCGTCTGCTGCTCCCCTCTAACAACTTCTGAACCCACTGCCCAAATCCGAGCCAATTTGACAGCCAGCGGGGGGGCCCACGGCTACTCAGCTCTTCGACACGTTGTAGGGCAGCTCAGAGGGCTGTTACTGCTCCGTGAGAGAAAGGCTACGGGGCTGACCCCCAGCGGGTCCCCACAGTGAGAGCGAGACGCCAGACACTGTATTAATTCTCCTGCTCAGACCCAGCCCTGACACCGACACAGCCCTGCTTTAGCTCCCCTGGCTTTGCAGGCGCCTGTCAACATGTGCAGTGCCTGATTCCTCCGGTTCAGGTACCATCAGTGTCCCATCCATCACCTGGAGAGACTTCAGCCACCTTTCTATCAGAACTCTTGGTTTTCCCCCCAGATGGAAAATGTGCTCTCCTCGTTAGAAGAAACCGGCACCGTTTATTTACCACCAGATTTTAACTCCCTTCTGTCTCTAGCAGCTTCCCAAGCATCCTCTGGCCTTCACAGAGCAAGGTGTCCATGTCCCCCACTTGCCCCACACCAAAAGAAGAACCTCATTTGAATGGGCCAGCGATGGCTCTCCCGATCCCCGGGGCCAGGCTGCACTGAGCAGGAGGGAAGCGTTTGCTGGTGAGAAGCTGGGATGTCTCACGATACAATTAGCAGGCCATTCGCTGTGAATCCACTTCCAATTAATAACAGCCTACTAGACACTGCTTCGCATTGATTACTGGGCACTGTGAGGAGCAGATTTCAATTACTTTCTAAGCTGCGGGATTGATCGGGCAGCCTCGTGTCAATTCTGTTAGCAACGGGGCAGAATCCGAAAGGGATTTGGATGTAGCTGGGAAATGACCGAGGATGGGAAGCACGTTATGAGAGATGCACCCTGTAATGTAATTCAGCTCCTCTTCCAGCAGCTCTCACACATGCACATGCCATTGCAGAGCTCTTCTGGTTAGGACACCAGGGAATACAGCACAGGGAAATCAAATTGCCAAACAAGTTTCCTAATTTAACATACTTAAGGGAGGTACGTGGCGTGGGAGGATAATGGGTAAACAAATGCATAAACACATTGTCAAGCTCCAGAGACAAAAATAGAGAGTAGAAAAAAAAAAAAATATTCTGACTGAAAATTTTCCTACTTGTTACATACTTACCAAGATTATGACTGGTGGCGTCTGTTTCCTGTATAAGTAAATGTCTTGCACCAACAGGAATTTCAAACATCTTAATGTGCCCTTTATTGTAGTATTTGAAAAGATAGTAACTGGTTAGTTAGTATGCATAAACAGGAAGAAGTAGTATTTGAAAAGATAGTAACTGGTTAGTATGCATAAACAGGAAGAGTCTGTCTTAGGTTTTTAAATAAATCTCATTTTCTAAAAGCAGGGTGTATTACAGCAAGCTGAACCTGATCCAGCATCATTCCCATCCCTACTTCTGTGCCAGGTGATGGAAAATAACAGGACAAAGGGCTTTGGGTCAGAAGAAAAATGCCTTTAGTATCATCAACAGACTTTGCTTCAGACTAAAATGGGCTTTGAGTGCCATATGCACCCACAGAGCTCCTGTCTGACAGTGAGAGATGATGACATTTTATTGCAGCGCTCCAGTGGCTCGGACAGAGCAGCTGAGTGACATCAGTGGCACAAATAAGCTCCAACAAGGAGCACTGAAGCCCTCCTCTGTGCATGCACAGCCCCTGAGATCAGCACACTTAACTGACCACAGGACAAAAGCCTCATTTTCAAATTCTAGACACATCTCAAAGTAAAGTCCAGAGAGTTTACTGGAATTAGGGATGCTGCAAATGACTTGTGATTGCTCTGGTACTTTCCATGAAACAGAAGAGATGAAACAAAAATACCCTGAATTCCCCAGAACAGCCACCGAAAGCACTGACCTTGTTTCTTTGGTACTCTTGAAAATGTTCCTTTCACCACTTTGCAGTGGGAATTATCTCCTCCACAAACACCACACTTGTCTTCCTGCTTCGTGGAACCTATGACCCTGTCACACCCGACTTTCTGTGCACAAAAGAGAAAAACAATCATTCTTATTTATCCACACTTCAAGCCAAATGAGCTTTCACTTCAGATATCAAACACCAGACTCCTGCTTCAGCAAAGAAGTAGAAATTGTAGTTTTTCTTGGAAGATCAACAGCTAAACAGGTTTTAAAACTTCCAGTTCCTATAATAGCTGACAATCAGGTGATTATATTCTTATATTATGTTTCACAGTGGTCTTCTTGCTGGAGGAGAGCAGCACAGTTAAGGAAAAGCTCTTAAGCCTCAGCTTATCTCAAAGCAGATGCTTAAATTCCAGGAGAATCAAGGCATCTATGTGAGGATAAGCACCTCCACCAGTGCTTTGCTAAGTCAGAGCCTCTAATTCCTCTGAAAGATGACCTGCGGCAGATCCCCCAACTTGGAGGAACTGTCATTGATTTTTTTTAAAAATAGCACGATCAAATACAGAGAGAACACACATCAGCCACATCTTAACACTGCTTTTCTTGAAAGCTGCTGCGTATTCCTATTTCATTGTACATTCCACCCCCACTAAACCTCAGCAGGAAAAGCTTTCATTGAAACCTAATTGTAATAGCTCATCTTAAAATACTGCATTAAATATTACTTGTGTAGGTAGGCGCTGTTGGAATTGAGTCACATGCAATGTGATGGCAACTGTGAATATCACACATAATATTGTGACAATAATCCTAATGAAATCTCCTCATTGCCCAAAGCGTTATTATACTTACTTAAATAGTCCTTCTTGGGGAGAAACACTTGAGCTACCATTTTAAATGTTTTCACAATAATAAACTCTGAAACTCAGAAGCTTACCAAGCAGTCTCCCCGCACGCAGATGCTGTAAGCATCTTTGTAGGAGCAGCGGGTCCCATCGTGTACCATCCTTTTCATGTACACCACATCCCCTGTCTCCTTTGATTCGCAATACAGGTGGCACCTTTCCTTGGCTGAAAAATAAAATAACCCAAATTGTGCGTGTTCAGCTCTAAGGGTAGTTGCTGACTTTGTGAACGACACTTTCAATAGCGTTAGCAATCTCTTCTTCCTCGCATACATCACCGAACGCAATACGGTACCCCATAAATCATCAATGCTTATCCCCTTTCAAAGGCTACGTGATCACTTGGAAACTGCTGAATCATAAAGCACCCACGTGTCATCATTAGCAGACAGTCTGAAAAATAACAGATCATTTACTTTGATCGGGGGGGGGCTTCTATTTAATCCTTTGTCGGATGATGCAATCTGGCAGAGGTTTCCGCAATCTGCTGCCTGAGTACCTGGGAGAGATGCAGGTTTCTGCATCAGTTTCTCCTGCACTGCACTTAAATCTGAGAAAAGCATAAGTCCTTTTGCCATTAAAAGCTGCTGTTTGACACCAGGTGAATCTGGCACCCAAAATGTCTTCAGAGACAGCCAGACCACACTATTTCTGCCTACACATGAAGTTAATTCTCCCTTATTGTTGTACTTGTATTTATGATAGTTTACATCATTAAACAAGATGAGATGCCAAAGAGATTCAGAAAAAAAATGTTTTTTACTACTAACACGTGCACAAACAGCCAGACAGGGGTACCTCTTTCTCCTAACCTGTTCCAAAGAGGTAAGAACAAAAAAGAGAGCTGAAATGACCAGTCAGTGGCTGAACAAAGTTGTATTCCACCAGTGTCTTTCATTTTACCCACATCTCATGCTCTCCCCAGCCCCGTAATAGGATTCACTATGCTTTCCTTGGCAGTGAAGAACAGATGGTTGTTCTGTTAGATGAAACAAATAAAGATTCTGCTATTTTAACATGATTAAAAGTTGGGACACTTTTCCCACCATTTAAAACAATAAAGACCTTTCTGTTATTGCAGTTGAATTAAAATAAATCTTCACAGGCCCTTTGCGTTCTTGCCCTGTACAGTTCCATGGCCTCTGCCCTCTTTTAATAAAGTCCTTGTTATTGCTGCTGATGTCCTCATGGCCACTGGGTATTGGTACATCAGAGACCTTTGTTACTGCTCCTGAACAGCGCAGAGATGTCACGCTAAAAATGTAGGGTCGAAATATTAAAGCAGGTACTTTTTACTTCTTTTGTGCAGATTCTTAATAGGGCGCTATTAAGATCATAATAGCCACAGACAGACCTAACGTATTTGCATATATTAGAAATGTTAAACTCTGCACAAGACACAGACGTGTACGCAGACACGCACCCATGGTATGTACCCACACCCACCCCGCACATACCATACATTCACTGCACGCGATTAAATGAGCGTATCAGAAGGTCTGACTGGGTGCCAACATCTTTGTGCAGGGCTTTATTTTAGAGAGGGTTCTTTTCCTATTGCCTCATGGGAACAGTAAATGTGCAAGCGCCGTTAAATTGGACCCTGTTAATTGCAAAGAATAATCTCCTTTCTATTCACTGTTGTTGGGCACAGAAGAGGTATAGGAGCGTGGACACGACCATGTCGATTCCCTGCTTCCCATATGTTTCCTTAACACTGCTTTTCTTGAAAGCTGCTGCGTATTCCTATTTCATTGTACATTCCACCCCCACTAAACCTCAGCAGGAAAAGCTTTCATTGAAACCTAATTGTAATAGCTCATCTTAAAATACTGCATTAAATATTACTTGTGTAGGTAGGCGCTGTTGGAATTGAGTCACATGCAATGTGATGGCAACTGTGAATATCACACATAATATTGTGACAATAATCCTAATGAAATCTCCTCATTGCCCAAAGCGTTATTATACTTACTTAAATAGTCCTTCTTGGGGAGAAACACTTGAGCTACCATTTTAAATGTTTTCACAATAATAAACTCTGAAACTCAGAAGCTTACCAAGCAGTCTCCCCGCACGCAGATGCTGTAAGCATCTTTGTAGGAGCAGCGGGTCCCATCGTGTACCATCCTTTTCATGTACACCACATCCCCTGTCTCCTTTGATTCGCAATACAGGTGGCACCTTTCCTTGGCTGAAAAATAAAATAACCCAAATTGTGCGTGTTCAGCTCTAAGGGTAGTTGCTGACTTTGTGAACGACACTTTCAATAGCGTTAGCAATCTCTTCTTCCTCGCATACATCACCGAACGCAATACGGTACCCCATAAATCATCAATGCTTATCCCCTTTCAAAGGCTATGTGATCACTTGGAAACTGCTGAATCATAAAGCACCCACGTGTCATCATTAGCAGACAGTCTGAAAAATAACAGATCATTTACTTTGATCGGGGGGGGGCTTCTATTTAATCCTTTGTCGGATGATGCAATCTGGCAGAGGTTTCCGCAATCTGCTGCCTGAGTACCTGGGAGAGATGCAGGTTTCTGCATCAGTTTCTCCTGCACTGCACTTAAATCTGAGAAAAGCATAAGTCCTTTTGCCATTAAAAGCTGCTGTTTGACACCAGGTGAATCTGGCACCCAAAATGTCTTCAGAGACAGCCAGACCACACTATTTCTGCCTACACATGAAGTTAATTCTCCCTTATTGTTGTACTTGTATTTATGATAGTTTACATCATTAAACAAGATGAGATGCCAAAGAGATTCAGAAAAAAAATGTTTTTTACTACTAACACGTGCACAAACAGCCAGACAGGGGTACCTCTTTCTCCTAACCTGTTCCAAAGAGGTAAGAACAAAAAAGAGAGCTGAAATGACCAGTCAGTGGCTGAACAAAGTTGTATTCCACCAGTGTCTTTCATTTTACCCACATCTCATGCTCTCCCCAGCCCCGTAATAGGATTCACTATGCTTTCCTTGGCAGTGAAGAACAGATGGTTGTTCTGTTAGATGAAACAAATAAAGATTCTGCTATTTTAACATGATTAAAAGTTGGGACACTTTTCCCACCATTTAAAACAATAAAGACCTTTCTGTTATTGCAGTTGAATTAAAATAAATCTTCACAGGCCCTTTGCGTTCTTGCCCTGTACAGTTCCATGGCCTCTGCCCTCTTTTAATAAAGTCCTTGTTATTGCTGCTGATGTCCTCATGGCCACTGGGTATTGGTACATCAGAGACCTTTGTTACTGCTCCTGAACAGCGCAGAGATGTCACGCTAAAAATGTAGGGTCGAAATATTAAAGCAGGTACTTTTTACTTCTTTTGTGCAGATTCTTAATAGGGCGCTATTAAGATCATAATAGCCACAGACAGACCTAACGTATTTGCATATATTAGAAATGTTAAACTCTGCACAAGACACAGACGTGTACGCAGACACGCACCCATGGTATGTACCCACACCCACCCCACACATACCATACATTCACTGCACGCGATTAAATGAGCGTATCAGAAGGTCTGACTGGGTGCCAACATCTTTGTGCAGGGCTTTATTTTAGAGAGGGTTCTTTTCCTATTGCCTCATGGGAACAGTAAATGTGCAAGCGCCGTTAAATTGGACCCTGTTAATTGCAAAGAATAATCTCCTTTCTATTCACTGTTGTTGGGCACAGAAGAGGTATAGGAGCGTGGACACGACCATGTCGATTCCCTGCTTCCCATATGTTTCCTTCTCATTTCACTGAGGCTGTGTCACTCTCCACTGCCCTGGCAGACACATGGCACGGGGGTACCTGAGCCCAGCGCCTGGGAGATGGGGTGCTCAGGGGGCTTGGAGCAGGAGAGGGGCCATGGCACGATGTGGCACCGGGGTGCTCAAATAACCCAGCTCGGTGTCTTTTCTCTGGCCACGGGATGAGACGCTCCTCCCTGTCCCCATCAGACACACAATGTGTCAGACACGTCCAGCTGAGCTGATATGCCTTATCTCGACAAAAGAGAGTTTCACATACATTAGAGTTCAAGCAGAAGCCACCCTCTGACTTTGTTTTCACACAAAAGCTGTTCTCTCCAATAACCCTGCACAGGTGAACGTCCCTCTCACAAAGGGGGCTGCAGGTACACCACAGATACGTGGGACACCAGCGGTGCCCAGCAACCAGACATCAGAGAGCCGGTTTCTGACCCAGAAACCATTGAATTTAATGGAAAAACATCTGATTAGTTTCAGTGGTCTTTGCAGCAGACTGCTCCAAAGGCTACAGCAGAAGCAAAGGTCCTGCGGGCCACAGTGTTCGTCCCCCCTCCCTTGTGCCAGCAAAGCTATTTCATGAAATTAAGCTGTGAGGCTGTGGCTGCGCCTCTGGAAACCCCAGATTGCACAAGAAGATGTGAAAAGAATGAGGGAACCCTGAGAACTCTTTGGGAAGAAAGTCAGGGAAATTAATTACGTGGAATTTGCCATTAACTTCTGGCAAAGTATCCTTTCCCTGGAATGTAAAATGGTTCACCCAAAGTGACCCTTCTCCTCCCAGCCATGGATGCCTGACTGAGGACAGCTTGGGTACCTGCTCCTCTCCAGGCCAACCTTGTCCTGAAGGACTGGTCATTCAAACAACATGACCAGGTGTAAAAACAGCGAGCAGCCTGTGCTCCTCATCGACCATTGCCCTCTACCTTTTAACTTGCTAAAACTCCTTCTTGGCCTGGTTTCATGCAGTAGCACGGCAACAGCCTTCATGGCCCAAATCAACCAGCTGCACTTTCACTGCCAGTTAAGCAGAGGCGTTAACAGGAATAAGAACATTTTTGTTCTGAGAAGCAATCTCTGTGAGATCCCGGAACATCCGACCGACCGCGCTGGTTCAGACCCAGCACCATCCAACCCAACACCTGTCTCCGACAGCGCCAGCAGCGTTTGCAGGAAGATGTGACAACAAACCTGATACTTCTCTCAGAATATTCCCCAACTTTCTGGTAAACTGCAGCTTGGGGACTTCCTAAGTTATGGCTGAAGCTTGGTGTTTCATAGCTCTTAATGGATTATGGAACTTTCAAGAATTTTTCTAAATCACTTTTAAATCTTTCTGGCACCTGCAGCTTCCTGTGGCAATGAATTCCAGTTTAATTACGTGCTGTGTAGAAACTTACTTCCTCTTATTTGCTTTAAATCTGCCACCTGATAATTTTATTTGATGTTCCCAGTCTTGTGTTATGAGAAACAGTGAATAACCATTCCGTGTTCAGTCTCTTCATGCCACTCATAATTCTGTAACTCTATCTTTTTAATCTAAATCATCACTTTTTCATGGTGAAAAGTCCTCGTTTATCTCAACTCTCCCTAATCAGAAATCACTGCTTATGTTTGCTTTATTCAAGCATTTCTGAATTCGACCATATTTTTTTTAGCAATGGGGGCTGCAATGAGAAGGGCATGACTTGAGTTACATTGGTGGAGCATTTAAAACACAGAGGCACCATGCAGAGGCAGATCAGTGCTCTCCATCCCCTTCTCCACACTCACTGAGCAGATGTTTTCCTAAAGCTATCCCCAACTCCCACACCTTTCTCTTCAGAGCCCACCTTGCGCACAGACCCATACACACCTACCATTTTTTATCCTCATACCCATTATTGGCATTTATCAACGCCAAACTTCATCAGCCACATTCAGTTGCTTAGTGTCACAAGGTCCTTCTGCAGCTCTCACTGTGGGCTTTCTTATTCTAATTAGCCTGAATAACAAGCCCATCACCTCATTCGCTCCCTTTCCCGGTCACTGCCACCCGTGCTCAGCAGCACCCATGCTCCCAGCACCCGTCCTTGTGGGACATGCCCCCCATGCAAAACCATTCCCTTTTATCTCATGATAACTCAGTTTAAGAGCAGTTATCGGGGAACAGGGTCCAAAGCTTTTTGAAAATCCAAGGACATTATATGAATCAGATCACTCATACACCGATATTCACCGATCACTGCAACCAACTCATAACAGATTTGAGAGGCATCGTTTCCCCAGAGTTTTATCCCTCCTCATATAATTTTTACTCATGTTTGCAACTGGTTTTACTTTTCATAGGAAAAAGGGGTCCTCTCACCATCGACGTGTTCATAGGGGAGCCAGTGGTGTTTTGTGTTCTGGTACTCAAAGTAGGGGTCCCACTGCCGGCACTGCTCCTCTCTGAAATCTTCAAAGTCCTTGGGACAGTCCTGAGTGTTGCACAACTGGAACTCGTAGCTTGGCCCCACGCATGTGCGGCCTCCGTTGGCAGGACTGTGGGGAGGAGAGAAACCCACCGTCAGTTTTGCTGTTTAATGCAGGAATCAAGCGTTTGTCAAATCCTTTAAGGAGTAATTTAACTCCCAGTCATGTCAGTAGGCATTTGACGAAGCCAGCGATGTATTTCTGGTAGGGAAAATACGCATTTCCTTTAAAAACCTGCTGTTACTTATTTAGCTCTTAAAAAGCAATTTCTGCAAGTAGAGCCTCAAACCACTTGATAAAGGCAAGAAAAGCTGTTTTCTTGGTGCTGCCCAGGAAAGGCAAACACAAGCAGATGAAGCAGCTCATTCACATTCACCCCCTAAGCCAGCGGCAAATCCAGAAACAGAGCCCAGCCCCGGCTGCATCCCCCGCAGACACCCATCAGCTCACACTCAGATCCAGCAACACACAGCTCAGGAGCCACAGCTGGGTGTGCAACCTCTTCCAGGATCACAGAAAACATTTTAAACAGTACATTAGGCCTTTGCTGTGTGAAAATAAGTTTTACAACTGAAACCGTGCCCACAATTATAAAGGTCACTTTCATGTTGCCAACGTAATAAAGGCTGAAATGAGAACTTTTTCTTAACAGAACAATTTCCACTAGAAGACACTGCTTCATAAAAGCTGAGGTTTTATGCTTAATCAATGATGATTTTTAATACTAGTCAAGTTCAATCACTTTATCAGCAAAAATTGAGAAAGTTGATGCTAAAAATATTATGTCTGGTAAAATAATTTAATTCTGACAATTATTTTGGTTCTTGCTATTAGGATCTTGACTTTTTATCATATCACAATAAGGTAGCAATAATTTTACATTTCATATCATTTGTACATACCAATCTATATTAAATATATTATACTCCCAGTATTACTGAAATTAAGTCAATCTACATGATCTAGATGAGCCATATATAAGTTATCATAGCAATTCAATATCACTAAAATTAACTTTGGGGAAGGTTCTGATCTCTGGAGCTTTGTTCCAACTTGGTTTGAAAATGTTTTAAGACCACTTTCTTGAAATATCAAAAAAGATGAATTAAACAAAAAAATTTAAAAAGTTATATGAATTAAAGGAAATCCAGGAAATCACTGCTATTATTTCATACTCACATATCAAAATAAAACATAAGCAGGGCCCTGAACTTTTATTTATGCTTTATGCAATAGTGTAACAGCACTTTCAGGATCCTTGTAGCTACATTAACAGCTTAATGGATGGATAAACTGAGAAATAGAGAAGATTCATGACTTGCTAAAGGGCCAAAAGTAGAATTCCTGACAACATGTACTACAGGTCAGATTTAACGAGCGCCACTCGACATCCTTTGGTGTATTCCTGCACTAGTAATTCAGCAAGGACTCTCACCATGTGTTTGCCCCAGAAAAGCAGGTGGGTGTACGTGTACTCACTGCGGGTTGTCACACTGCCGCGTCCTGTACTTCACCCCGGTGCCACAGGTACGAGAGCAAGAGCCAAACTTACTCCATGCCCCCCAGTGCCCATCCTGCTTCAGGATGTCCGGTGTTAGCCAGATGCAGTGACCTTTAAAGCAGTGCTAAAAGAGAAAATCAGCTGTCAAAACGACTAGATGATTAAACTATATCATATGAGAAGCTGCAGTACAACAGGTTTCATTTTAGGCGCACATTCTAGCTTTTTTTTCCACCAGGAGAATGTAGTGAGATCCACTGTCAGATCATGGCCATGATCCCTAACTCGGATTTTATGAAGTTACACGTTAAATACACACATACATCCTTGCAGGGTTCAAGCCTACCATGTTCCTTGAACTGCCCTCAGCATTACATGCCATCACCACGTGTCTGCAGCGGTGATTTCAACATAACCAAATCTTGGAGGCTAAAGGTAAAATTCTGCCTCTGTCCCCGTTGGGAGGCACTTTGGGCAGCCTTGGTGAGAGCTGCCCCCGCAGCACCCTCCCTCCCTCCCGCAGCTCCAAACTCAGCACACATATTCCTGCAATAAACACGACCAGTGAAATGGCATGAAATTAAAGCCAGCTCACATTTTAGGTATTATTGCTATTAAATGAAGAACTCTTGCAGTCTCCCTGGAGATCTCATGGTAAAACTGACCAACTCACCAGAGAGCAGCCCTGGATGGTCCCACTTCTGTGCAATTAATCATGCCCTACTAGGCTTCCTCTTTTCCTTTAACTCATTTTTAATACAGTCATTCCACAGAGGTTGAAAACCACCATTTGCTACATTCCCCAAACCTATAAGGTATTTACACATTTTTTAAAGGGCATTCAAAGCTTCATTACTGATACCCTCTACTGTCTCCTCTCGTTAAAGAAACCCGCCAATGCTCTATAAGGTATTTACACATTTTTTAAAGGGCCTTCATAGCTTCAGTACTGATACCCTCTACTGTCTCCTCTTGTTAAAGAAACCTGCCAATGCTTTCCCCCCAATTCCTGCAGTCCCTAATCAAGGCATTTTTTCTTAGCTGAATTCAGGTTGAATTTTTCTCAAGGATCACAGGTTCCGGCCCTTCCTGGTGCTATTTTTGCTTTCATAAAAGTCTACTGATGAAGTGTGGGTGCTGGAAAGTATCTCCAGCCCAACAAACGGCTTTGTGTTAGACTGTCGCAGTTTGTCTGCGTTAACGGTGACTGTCGGGATAAGAGCTCTGGCTCAGGCACACAGATGGCTATAACAACAAGTGCAATCAGTCACTTACTTTCCTTAACATTCAAGTCAACAACAACATTTTACACAGCTTAACAAGCCCTGGAACGCAGGAATTTGGCAGGCGGCACAAGCCGAGCATATGGCTAACTGCAGGCTGCCAGCAAAAACAAAATCAGAAGATATATAACAGGAGAGCGTTCTTAAGCATAGAGCGATTAGTGATCTGGAAGACAAATTTAAAAGTGATGGCTAATCATTAATAATGCTGAATTTAAAGAGAGAATCATTAGTAAAACGGTGACAAGACACAGCTTACTGATTTGCTAATCTGCTCAATGACTGGCGCTTTATTCCTGTAATTTATTTTGGTGCTGATTTGCTTGGACAAGGAGTAGAAGAGAGAGCAAAAATTAGGTTTCAACTATTCGTTCTTTCTCATGACTTCAAATATTCAAAGTCAAAACCTATGAAATAGATGAGTTACCACAAAGCCAATTATACCAATCCTGCTCCGGAGCAGTAATGGGCAGATTTTTCTTAGCTGTTTGACAGAACAAGAGATAATTCAGCAAAGCATGAAAGAAATGCAAAATGCTAATATGTCCTTTGCTTTCTTCAGTTTCGAAGCTCAGGGGTTGTTTACTTAGGGCTTTAGAGAGGTTGGTTTGAGGGAACAGTTGGAGTCGTCAGGCCCTGTGTGGCAACGGGACCGTTTGGAGATGCAGGGGAAGCTGGCAATGCATCAGCTTGTCAATACAGATTTCAGCTGGGCTGGGAAGCAGACGAGATGTGACAGCTCCTGATCTGTTCTTGCTTAAACATCCTTGTATCAGGGTTCTGCATCCCTCAGGTGAGAGTTCCACAGCAATCACCGAATCTGTTTCAGGAGCCACGTAGCGTATGTTCATTATGGGATGATCCAGCACTTGGACTCCACGGAGGAGAGGGAGAGACACATGATGTTGTGTTTTCCAATCTCCTTTCCCTGCCTTAGCCAGGATGTGGGTTTGCAACAGCCACAAATAAACCACCTATTTGACACTGTGACTGGTCCCTGAACTGGAAGGCAAACACAGAGAAGTGTTATTGACTTTGCTCTGTAAAGGAAAGAGCAGCACTGACTTTAACTGGAGAAACTGGTCATATGCCGATTGTCGGGAAGCTGGGGCAGAGCTATTAGGAGACAAGCATTTGTGTAAAATGAGTCATCCCCAGCTCTGCCTTTTTGTTTGTGGATTAAAAGAAAGGAGCCTACATAAAACAAAATGATTCACAACCCAGTCTTACTCTGTGCAGCCCCATGCAAGAAAACGCGCGAGAAGGTAAGATCAGAGATGGAACAGTCTCCAGCCTAATAAAGGCAGCTACAGCCAACCCTTCCTATTGCTACTACATTAACTACATAATGAGGTGGAAAAGAGCCAATTTCAACCACTATTCCCTCCATAAACATTTAAAGAGTGAAGCATATTAAAGCTTTTTTTTTTTTTTTAAATGAGAGAAAAAAGCTGTGGGTAAATGCAAATTGTTTTCTTAGTGGAAGACAAGATGACTTCTTGCAGTCTTGCCTATTTTTCTGGCAAACGGGACAGTCCAAAACAAGTGCAATTTCCAGGAGAGGAAGCTTAAATCTCTTGCAGTAAAACATTCCACTGCTGTTTTCAGCAGTTCTTTGAAACAACTGCTGCGGACGCCAAGAAAAGAGGCAGCGTGTTCCTGTGGGCTTAGCGCATCTGCAAGATAATTTTTCAAGAAGAGACTTGCAGATCTTCCGTGGGTATCTCCACCTATGTTATATCAGCCAGCAACTGGCAACTCTCCTCTCTCCTTGCTTGACACCCCCGTTACCTGCCAGCAGCCCCCCACTCTGCATCGCAGCCGGTGGCCCTCGGCTCTCCCCGCTCTCCTGAGACCGTATCAGGACAGAGTTACTTCTGTATTTGTATTTCCTATCACACCCAGCCTGGCCCACTCGGCTCCATCTGTTTGAGAATAATTAGTTGCAAGGGATGAACTGAAAGCTCTAACACTAAAGTCTACCCCGAGCCAGTAAAAGTTTCTTCAGGGGAGAATCAAGTATTCTCACTGTTTCTGTGGTGACTAACACAGCGTACACTTACCCATCTGTCTCCTGTCTCCGAGAGAAGCTGAGGTCAGCTTTCTCAGTGGGAAATTATCTGGATTGCTTTGAGTACACATTAATGTTTTCAGAAACCTTTTTTCTCAGTCCATTTTTCTTCTCAATAATATCTATTTATTTCAATATTGAATCGTTCCCTTCCTTTCCTGACGGGCTAAAAAAATAATTCCAAGTTTGACTGGGATCATCTCATTAGCATGGTGCAAGCAAAGAGAAGACCTGCGAGGTTTGTGCTGGCTCCCTGGCACATGAGCCAAATCCAAGAGCAACATCAGCTCGGTCGGCAGGGGCAGGCACCGGGCTCTTACCTCTCTCCAAGAGAAGAAAGGAAGGAGGCTCAGGTGGTGCAGACCTTTGTGTTAGTCACTGCAGCAAGCAGATGGACTCCAGCACGCAATCTCCTTGCATGAATGACTTTGGGTTTTATTTCTATCCTGCGGAGAGCAGTTAGCTACTTCAGCCAATATAAATGTCTCCCCAGAAGAGTAATAGTTTAAAAAAACGGAACAACAAAAACTGAGGAACTATTTCTGAAGGCTGCATGGCTTCAGAAGCCTGAGGCTAACGGTGGAGCTGACAGAATTGTATATAAGTAAACAGATTATCAGCTGAAAGCATATGTTTTTTTTTAACCCACTGAATGCCACGCAGAGTTAAGCTTTGCACAGTTGTGCCTCGTCTGCATGGTTTCCTACAGCAATTTATGGAGTGTCTTTGACTTCATGTTAGGACTCTGACCCTCCATGTGCTTAACTTTACACGCTGGAGTTATTTCATGCAAGTTAATGTGACCATTCAGATGCAGTAATTCCAATCGAAGCTTCACAAAACTGACAGAATCTTCCCTCTTGCTGTTGAAAATAAAATCTCGTTTAAAAAAAAATCCGGCTGGGAGCAATATAAAATATTCTATTTCCTTTAGGATTCTATAAAAATAGTAGTTTGCTTCTCTGGCTGGGAAGCTCCAAAAGAATATTTTATTTTTCTACCCCTAAACCCAGCAAATGATTAGTTTGCTGCCAATTAACATAATGGTTGTTCAGTGTCTCCATTTGCACAAGGAGACTTATTAAAAAGTTTCTAAAATGGCAGAGCCTCACTCTTTTGGCAACTTATTTCAAATAACCACATGCACAGAAGAGCTTACATATATTTACATATATTTACTTAAATATACAGCTATATGTCTGCATACATACACACATATAGAAGCATTTGAAAGTCTAATCTTCCTTCCATTTCTGAGGGTCAGTGCATAGTCCAAGGCACAGCCTGGCCGTGCAGAGACACAACCCTTATCAGAGTCCTTGCTGAAAATGTGCTACGAATCTCGTGTCTCCCAGAGGTGTCCTTGCCCCATGATCATCAGTTAGGAAGGAGGCAGCTGGACAGGATTCTCCTCAATCACATCTGCTCAGTTTGGGAAGGTGAAGAGCCCCGTTATCAGTTACATGAACACCAGGCTTAGGTGAGAACATCCCAGCGCCACGCACCGCGTTAGTCTCCCAAACATCCCCTTCGTTTCTGGCATTCGGTCCCCTCAGCTGCTGCAAAGCCAGGATGTTTCTTTGACACATCAGCAGTGTTGTGATTGGTTTGAGCTTAAAATAGGCCCTGGGAATTAGTGGTATGAAATCATGAAAACTGCAAGTCTCTGAAGTGGGAAACAAATGGATCTTTCTGAATCAACATCTTTAATTGCTTATGTTTCTGTCCTTTTCCTTTTTTGGCGCTATTCCAAAGAAAATAGTGGATCGAGTTTGAAGTTACTTTCCTCTTCCTCATGAGCTGATGAGGTATCATGGGAGATGTATCTTACGGGAAGCTGCCACATTGCAACTGAGTCCCAGCTTTGGGCAATACATATATTTTTACAGTCCCCATCCTTTCAGGTGAGAGTCTCTGGTATTGTCCAAATCACAGAGAGTGAACAGGGAGAGGCCAAATCAAAGGCAGGGATGAAAAGGAAAGGAACAGATGGAAAAGGACTGATCTGATGTGCCTGTATTAAAAACACCGACAACTAATAAATACACGGGTCAACTGCTGAGCTCAGATATACAAAATCAGTTGTATAACCTTCATAACTCCTGCTACTTTTAAAAAAACTGTTAGCTCAGAGTGCTGAGCCTTATCTAACAAAATGGTTTTCATTTTATATAATTTTCTCAGGTTCTCCTGGAAGGTTGCAATAAGTTTATTTATCAAAAAAAACTGGGACAGCTCCTCTGGGAATAAAACAGTCATAGTCCTATCATCTACTGAAACTTCAGAATGTGCACATACTCTCTTGCATCTCCACTGAACTACAAAACCTGGCTGTCTGCACAGTTTGCTGAAGCCTTGGATCCCAAGTTCCAGTCCAGAGAAAATTTTTACAGCTGAGTTGCATAATATCCTGACAAACTGTTTATAATGGAAGCACTGACAGATCCTTAACTGTATGGTTACAAGTTCTTTTTTTTTTCTTCTCATTTCTGTTCAAATACTAATAGGAATGAATGGCTTGGGGGAAGAGGATGATGCAACAAGATGGAATATAACTGTATATTTCTAGGCGTTTAATGAATATTTCTAACACAAAAATCAAGATATAGAAAAGTGAATCCAAAGAAACTAAGAGTTTTGATTGTAATTTAAAAATAGATACATTTTTAAACAAGAAATAAAGCTGTTATAACAGGAATAATCTAAAGAAGAGAAAACCAGAAGGGAGTAGTTTATATAGAGCATGACTTGCTAGGGAATTAATTTAGCATTACACTATGTTTTTCATAAAAAAGACACTTAAAACCATAACAGCAGCTGCTAATACGGTTCATTTATCACATAAATGATGTCATCCATTGGGTTTTACAAAACCTCTTTCCAAGTAGCGACACCTTCCTCTCCCACTCAGCCACTGCATCCAAAGCCCAGGGAAGCCAGACTTTTTCAGGAGACTTCAAAGGACTTGGAGTTCAGATCCGCTATGAGCACAGCGTGACCTCCACCTCCACAGAAGGATGACTGAGACCTGGAGCAGGTCCAGCATGGTGGCTGAGAGGTCGGAGCTGTCTGAGTCCTTGCCACCTCGCACCTTCCCTCTGTGGTCCCTCGTGCCTCCCTCGAATCTCACCAAGCCAGCAAATCCACCTCCGCAAATCTGCCCTTCTCTCCTCACAATCCCTCTCTGCTGTCATGTTGGCTCCCTTGAGCTGGCACTCGACTCCCACATCCATCCTTTCCCTTGTGGCAGCCACAGCAGCCTTGGCTTGGCTGTCATCTCTAGGACCTGCTCTCTGCACCCCCAGTGCCAGGGAGGTCAGCCAGCATCACTACAACATCACCGACACAAACACAACCACCCCCACCCTCACACAAGTCATGGGCGAGTGGAAATTGCCTTATTTTTGGCCCTATCACAAAGACTTGCCAAGAAGCACAGGGCCATCTGCAGATATTTCCATAACTCACATGAGTACAGGGTCTGATGGTCACAGAGCTGCCATGAAGGACACACCAGCCCTGGCCCATGCCTCCTCCCCTCAAGTTGCTCAACAGCCTTACTTGCATTTATGAGTTTGCTCCACATCTTAGTGGATTTCAAGTCCTCCAGATCTGTTCTTCTCTTGTTCCCCTTGATTTTAAGAGGAACACCCCCAACTGCACACACAGACACGTGTGAACACATGTGAGAGTGCACATGCATGCAGCACCCGCTCTCACCTTTCCTGGTGCACACATGGTCCCGTCCAGCGGAGGCCCTTTCTTTGTTTTGCAGAAGTAGGGGTTCTCGGGGTGGCTACACCACAGCTGCTTGCAGGGATCAAAGGTACGGAACTGAAACACAAGGAGAGAGAAAGAGCTCCCACTGGAAACTGCAATAGAAGCTGCAGCACGGTGGGGGAGTGTGGGGGGGTGTTCCTTTCCCAGCTGTTATCACTAATTTCTGAGGAACACCATGGTGTCTGTGGATTGAGCACATCTGAGCTTCCATGCAAAATCATCAGTGCCTCTGAAGTGAGATCCCACCTGCATTTGATGGAATAGGGTTGGGTGAAAATAGCTTTATGCTAGTGACCGAAGGCAGACTGGGCAAGGGGGAAACCAGTCCCTGTAGATGTTAAGATCCTTAAGATGTTAGATCCTGCCTTTTCTTACAGATTCTCCAAATGGCGCTGCTTCATTTGGAAAACAAAACAAAAAATCCTTGAGTACTCTTGGGAGAGGGAAACAAACTGCTCAGACTGTGGCTCAGCTGTGGCAATCACCTCCTCAGGAGGATGCAAATTGGAGCTCCGGACCCTGATCCAATAAACAAATGGGCATTTTACCTACAAGGCAAGAGCTTGTACAGGAGAGGATGAGAACCACCCCTCTGGACAACATACTAAGACAAGATGTCTGGACAGGCTTTTGGCTATTCTGAACAAAGAAGAACAGAAAGCCTCCATCTCCCAGGCTCCGGAGAGCAGCTCTAAGAAAACAGCCTCTTTGGCTGGGACATTCTTCCAAGGGAGCATCAGTGGGAATTGTGTCAAGACACAACACGACAGCTGATGCTTTAAAGGTTCTCATCCATTATCTAGAGACATCACTCGTCACACATATTCCTGCAGATGGGAATCAAAGCAGAAATGTTATGGGCTAGCAGCTGCCACACCAGCTGAAAAGGTCTCTTTCCATTTATTATTTGTCCTACTTTGTTCCACTTATTATATTTTGTCCTACTTGAGGAGCTGGAGGTGGGAGGCACAGCCCTGCTGCAGAAGATTCTGCTTTGAGGCCAACCCACAGAGAACTGCACAAATCTTGCCTTGCCTTAAATTTAGTCTTTATCTCTTGTTTTCCTGGTACAAGAGTGCCAGCCATGTCATCAAGAGTCCTCACGAGTTGCTCTACTCGCTGTCACGGTTATTTTGTCATGCTAGGCATCAAAATGCATCACACTTTCCATAGAATTGGATAATAAAAACACACAGCCCCACGTTAGCACTACAAGATGTGCCACCAAACCCATCTCCTTCACATCTGGGTGGGAGTTTTGTAGCAAAATAAGCAGCTGCCAGCAATGGGAGGCTCAATAATGCAGCAAGTTTGTTTGCTTGAAGTCTACAGCTATTTATGAAACTACAGAATAATTATTTCTGTAACTGCAGTTTAAAAAAATAAGACAGAGATACTTAAAATAACATATTTGTCAACATTCCGTTATTATTCCTTGCTTACAGCTAAGTGGCACGACATCTTTCCTTCCTCCCCTCCGTCCCTATTAAGGACATTTCAGAGACACTTACAACACTCCTAGATGAGAAATAGCAGAAGCCAAGCTTAAGTACTCACAGCTGTGCACATCATGTAGCCCAAACCAAAATCAAAACGGCACTGCTCATTCATGGAGTAGTGAATTCCTGGCAGCTGGGGAAGGGAAGGCCAGTCGTGTTCGAAGGGATCATCACGCAGACAATCATAGGAACTGCAACAGGCAAAAATTACAGTAACAGATGGGGCTGTGAGACTTACACAGTGTTTGTGGTTCCAGTGCCTTTTTGTTCCAAACAAAACAGAGCCTACAATTTCTCAGGCACTGGTCGTGAAGAGCAGCTAATATTGCAATTACTCTCACGTTAACTTTATCATGTTGCATCCACCTTTAATGGATTCTATATATACTTTTTCTGAAGCCCTTCCATTGTAATTTCCATTTAGCTCGCAGGTAAATTCCTATCAGTCTCCAGGCTCCCTATGTGAAAGGAAATCAAAGGAAGAATCCACATGAGACCAAGAAGAAAAGAAAGTTTAATTAATTTTCCATTTGTGGAATTTCTTGCTGCCTGCAACTGTCTTTCAAGTCAAGTTTTAGAAGCAGAAGCCAGGGTAACCATCCAAGATTACCACTAGGCTTGCAATTTTCCTGGGTCCTTGCTGAGAAGCAGCAACTCATTTACAAGCATGTGTACTTTTCTGCCTCCGTTAAACGCTCAGGTTTGCTCCCTCTCTGGTTCTCCTGATAGCTCTCAGCTCCATCCATAATTTGTACCAAGTTTCCTCTCTGTGTGATGAACAGGGGAGTTTCTCCTCTTGTCCTAAATCGTGAGGACAGCCTGTGACGTACCAGAATCACGCTTGGCTAAGTCACGTGGAGAACAGAGGACCATTGCTACTATCATTGAATGGTTAACGTGGTCTAAGCGTTGGTTAATTCACCAGACCAACATGACCAAGAGCACCTCTGAAACGTCTCCGAGTTATTTAACAGACATGAGGACACCATACAAGAGTCTGTTCTGGCAATCATTCAGGTTGCCTTGAAGATACCAAGAGCTGAAAGCAGAATTTTGAGGTTAGATTTACTTCAAAGCAAACCATCGTTCTGCTTTCTTATAAGATATTTAAAAATAGCTGTATTTAAAAGAATGTAAAGCAGCCCTCTAGGCCAGATGATTTTTATTTAATGGCTAAAGCTCTAAAGGATCTTACTAATCGAAACAATCATACTTCCCTCACAGTATTTTCATTCCTTATTGCCATACCTAAGATATCTAAGATAATAAAAATATTGACAAAAAGACTGTCTCATGTTTACTTCATGTATTTCGCTTCATTTTTTCCTTCTCATTTTCAGTTTTTGCTAGTATCCTAGTAGTTTACCCATATTTTTCCATACAACTTGCACATAACAACAACGAGAAGTTGGTGTTTTTTTTAAATATAAGGAGCAAAAACATGGTCACAAACATCCAAAATTTGTCAGGGAACTCCAGTGTGGGTCTAGCACCCGAAGTGGCAGGTTCAAAGGGAAGACAAGGAACATGGATGAAGCTGTTTAAATAGCTTTTGCACACAGGGTACTGAGGGAAAAGTAACAACTGAAGAATTAATTCTAGAACCATGTTCTTTTTTAGTTATCTGTTAAAGTCAAGGAAAGCCCTGAGCACTTAAAGGGAAGAATTTCCTCTTAAGGCAGCATCTGCTTATCATCGACAGGTATCACAAGCAATGAATGGCCTTTGAAGCCAAATTTGGTATCTGTAAGACAGACACCACACTTCTGGGTGGGACAGGCACTCCTCCAGCTAGAGGTTACATCAGGGAGGGAGGAAAATTAGCAGTGAGGTTAGTAATGGTGTCTTCTCCTAACCCCTGAGAGGACACCATATACGCTATCAACGTGCAGAAAACAGAGAGATGCAAATTAAATGAACTGAGAACAATTCAAAACAGACTGAAATCAAACTAATTGAGAACTTGCATTATTATTTGCAATCGACGGGGAAGCATCTCATTCCCAAAAGGATGGAGAGGATTCTTTGTTTGTTTTATTCAACCCCATTTGAGTAACTAACAACAGGAGAAAGCACAAATGCTAGATACGGAATTATTCTTGCATGCTTCCTAATCAAAGGAGAGAAGTTGCTTAACAGCTACTCACTGGAGATATCGATTCAGCTCTTGCTGGCTGCAACGAGACCAGTGGAAGCGATGAAACGCGGCTTGCACGAGGGGGGCCATGATGCTCCCCAGGCGAACTTCGTCCCCACATCTGTTCCCTTGGCCATCGTGCTCCATGCCTAAACTGCCCCACACAGGAGAGAGCCAGCATGGTTACAGCACAGGTGAACTCCGAGAGCCCAAGTGCTTCCCACAGCCCAGATGTCACCAGTGGTTGACTGCAACAAGGTTCTTAAGTCCCATGACCCTTGTCCACATGAGCAAGGTCATGAGAAATAAGACAGGGTGAGACTGATGCTAAAGAGCTAGTCTACAGTAGCTGCAACATAGAACCATTGACCCTTGAGAGTACTTTCATGTGATCAGCTTAATCCACTTTCAAAATAGGCTAAAAATGCCTTCTTTGGACTTCTGTGCACATCCACATTTGTGAATTACAGCTCAATGAATCCATTTCTGGATTAAGGATCTAGTCCTCCCCCCCTCCAGAGTATTAACAGAAATTTATTGATACTCCAATCTGGATTTTATCTAACTTTTAAAAAAAACACATTTTTGCTTAATCTGAAGTAGTTTGCAATTGTAGACAAGTCCTTTGCATGGAAAAAACCAAAAGGAGCCACACTGCAAGCTGGTTTAGGCTGGCTGCTGCCATTGTGCAGTAGCAAACCCACATTGCTTAAATGTGAAAAAGCCTGGAAAGTGTTGGGTGATTTCTAGAAAATTACCCCAAGTTACATATATTTTAGAATTTATTTTTGGCCTTATTATGATTATATTTTCTCCTTCCTTTTGTTAGGATCTTATACCGAATTTTTTAATGAGCACTGCTTCACTAACATAGGCGCTATCTGTCCATAACTTAAACCAAATTAACAGATGGGGGCTGAATATGATTTGAGGGATTACAAACATTCTTCAGTGGTATCTCTTCTAAGGCTCACTGTGTACTCTTTTTAATCATAATGCAAAAATTCTGGAATCAAATATCATCTGGGTATCAATTATACATCCCTGTCTAATTAAGATACGTTTACAGTGAGATTCAATAAACTTGGGTAATTTTTTCATTTAATAATTTCTGCTACAACAAAGAGAAAAGGGCCTGCAGGCTTTCTTAGGGAAAACAGAATAGATTGAAACTGTTCAGAAAAAGTCTTCTGGGAACTGTTGTTCTACCGAAGAGAAAATGGGAATCAGTGGGTGTTCTCCGAGAACAGGGAAACTGAAATGCTTTGGGAGAAACCACAGCTCTGACAACTGCTGCCCGGTCAGTCATTGGTTCTAATCACATCGTTAAAGTAAAATGATTGCGCTTTTTATAAACAAAATATAGAGATAAATTAAATATATAGAACAGTTGTAACCTCAGTGCTTGGCACCTTGTTTTGATACACTGTTGTATTCTTTACCAGCAGTAACATATACAGACGATGCACTTATTCAATAAGGATTGCTTTGAAGAACCATGTAGTTCACTGACTCAATTAATTCATATTTCACCATTATGAGTACTTTACAGTTCCACCAGGACACTATAATACATCTTTCAATCTACTCTCACAGCAGCCCTGGAAGGTATTTTGGTATCAGTTCCTTTTTCCATTTCAAAGTACCAAAATATAAAGCTTACTTAGGATCATAAAGAAAGCCCTGAGAGAGCTGAGACCCAAAGCCACGGCTAACCCTGAATATTGTTTCTTAACAGAAATCACATCTTTCCAATAACATCGGTATTTGTCAGTACCACAGGCATTAGGATGTAGGACACAGGATGTCTACAGTTCTACTCACACATGTCCAGTTTCATGAGCCACCACAAACGCAGATGAAAAACCATCTTCATGGTTGAGAGTGCAGCTTCGAACAGGATGACACATTCCAGTGACCGGAGCGTAGCCTGTGAGAAATACCCCGTGTTCCAGAAAATGAACAAGGATGGGAAGGCAACGTGGTGAGAATTTCTAGGACAAACATCTGTCTTCTGTTGTGACACAAATACAGTTGAACAGGTCCTCTCAAGAGACCTCTGCCCCCCAATATTCAATGATGTGCTCCATCATCTACGAAACAGATGGAACCAGCTTGCTGAACAAATTAAAAGCTGTATTCCTAGCTCACCAAGAAACTGTTGTCACCTCTAGGACCATCCTGCAACTGCCTTCTCCAAGTGCATGAAGCAAGAGGGGAAACGCTGCTGCGAGATGGCTCACGAGGAGCTTGGTGCAGGTCCAGCCCTCGGGGAACATGTGAGCAAAGCCCCAGTCCTGTGTTGACAACCCTGATCTGGCCAACCCAAAAGAAATGGGAAAGCTATAGATTTATCCCCTCCAGAGAACAAACCTGATCTCACAGGAGGCAGAGCCCTGAAAAAGGGAGAAAGTGGACAGCACTTGGCCCTGCTGTTCCAGACCTCTCTGAAACAATATTTCTTGGCAATCCTGCTGGAACATGGCAAGAGCTTTGGAGACTCCTTAAACACACAATCTAGTCTTTAATCTCTGGGCATTTTTCAGGACTGTTTATATAGGGATCTCATTTGCTTGGCTTCAGTAAGAGCAATTAAATAATCCAATAAATTATCCCACCAGTAAGAAAGGATAAAATAATAAGTGAAACAGTTACAACTGAAAATGGCCATATGCAGAGCTCCCGGGGAAAGAAAAGGTTGACCACAACTAAGCAAAAGGTAAACAATTAAACTTTGCATAACTACTCTTACCAAGTGATAAACACAACCAATGCTCAGAAGTCTTGACCTTTACAAAACAACCTGACAAACACCTTACCTTGCATGCCAGATGGACCAAAATCCTGCCTCGTGAGGAAGATGGCGTGGTCGTGGTACTCTGCGTGCCCCGTGTCAGGTTTCTGCTGCAAGTAAGCCCAGCGACACACATTTTCCAGGCTTTGCGAAGGGTTCCCAATCTCTATCAGACTCATAGACTGCACGTGCACAGGTAAAAAAGATACCAAGAGTTATTTATTAAAAGCGTCGCAATGTTTTCCCCCAAATTGTTCAGGCACTTGAGCAAGCATTCCATGTCTATTACAAGTCTGTTCTTAACAAAGGGACAATTACACTTCAGAAACAAATTTTAGTAGATCAAGAAAGTACGAAAATAGCTAAAATTCACAGATTAAATGCAATTTCTGCTTTTAATGGGGTCTAAGATATAATAAAAGAAAGAAAAAAGTTATAATGAGGTTAAATAAAAAGATGGGTATTTTAATGGCAAAACTGATATTGTGTTGTGCTCTGTGTGTTATTATTTCTACGCCACCCTGGCACCAGCTTGTGGCATCACTTCCAGTCTGGATATAGAGATTCCAATGGTGCCCGTGTCCCTGTTGGAACTGCAGCAGCTGTTGGCCAGTGGAAACTAACCCAGCGTGGGGAAGGGTAATGCCTCATGGCCAAGGGAAGCAAATGGCAACAACGGATGGCCAGCACCCAGCCCTGGTTCATCAGCCACTTCTGCCATGAAACCGAGCTGTTAGGGCTGTTTTGTCAGACATTTGAACACTACTGGATGTTTTAAGTGTAAAAACTAAGTGGACTTTTTTCCGCCATGTACTTTCAGCAACGGACTTTCCCAATGAATGTCTTCTAAAGTTCATTTTCTTTATCCCATTCCAGATCTGAAGATCTTTCAGAAGGTAGTACATGCCGTATGCCGTTCTCCCTATAAACCTCACATTACCTGGGTGGTGCACCAAGACAGCTTAGGTGACTCAAATGAGCCAATGTGTGTTAGGTGCAATGCAAAGGATAATTCTCTTGAACAAGAAAGAGAAAGTATTTTAAAAATCCAACTTCTACATTTGCCTTTTTTTGAAATACTGCTTTCTAAAGAATTTCCAGTTACTCTACTTAATACTGTGCATTGGTAAGACTTAGGAAAACTTATTAAATGTGGGATGCTATAAAATGTATGACTAATTGACCCATCCCAGGCCTTCCAGGATTTGTAAGAACTACATATGTGAACCCTGGCTTTTCATTTGCAAAAATTATATTACCATGACAACACTGTAATCATAACACAAACCACTACAATTTAGATGCTATACTGTACTGTAAGCCTTTGTCATGTTTGGAACAAACCTATGTTCCAAAATACTTAACGTACAGCAAAATCCAGCCTGGGCCAAAAATAAGAGAGAAGTTATATAGTTTGTGTTTAAATACAGATGTATTTGACATGTCCTCTAATTGAGTGCATTGAGAGTATTGACTACATGAAAAAGAAAATCCTCAAAGGGTTGTGGAAGAACAACTGGAGTTGATAAAAGAAAAGTCTGCCAAACTGAGGTCTGATTTTGGCAAAACTAGGATATTACAATTCTGCAAATGTTCAGAAAAACAAATTAATAAACCAAATAGAGGCACAGTTTGGATTCTGATACCACTGTGGAATGAAAAAGTTGTAATATAATCCCACGCTGGAGCATACTGCTTCCAGCCATAATTCCCTTGGAAATTGAACTAATAACCGTATTTAAATGGTGGGATAGTTGTGGTGCCTTTATTGCATCTTCATGTATTTATAAGAACAGACTTAAACAAACTTTGAATGACTATTACAGGGTAAAATCCTGGCTCTTCAATCAAAAATACTCCTCAATTGAACAAGGTTTGTTCAATTATTGGGGCCTTTATTAACATAAAGAAGTCATAAAATGAAAACAAACAAGCAAACAAAGAAATTATTTACATCATCTCTACCTTGTCCTCATTTCTCCAAAGCTGCACAAAACAAATCAATCCCTTCAAGAAGCTCAGTGAGAAATCTTGCTGGCAGATTCAAAAAGTGCAGAATGTTGTAAAATTAAGTTGAAAAATCATTGTGTATTGTTTGCTAATAGTTCTTTGTCTCACAATTACCTCTTTCTTTACATTCTACCAAATGACAATCATCATTTTTGTATAAGATGCATTGATCAGAAAGCAAACCAAAAATACATGTTATCAACACGTGCTCTATTTAAGGGTATCTGAATAGTTGTAAAGAAATCTCTGCATGCATGATCAACAAACAAGAACTGAATATAAAAAAGGCACTAATTTCCAAATAACCTCTATTTTATAGGTTTCCTCTGTCGTGTCACCTCTTCCCTATCTCCTAAACTGAAACCTTTGCAGTAGACCCCAGCACAAAAGCAAAATACAAGTCTCCGAATGAACTAACACAGCAGCTTGCAGCACTTTTCTGAACATTGAGTCTGCCAGAGACTAGCTCTGCCGCAGCGCACCCAGCAGCTCCCATGGTTCAGGCACTGCATTGGCATTTGGCACGAGTCAACAACTGTTTTCACTGGGTACTGAAGTCCACTCTGAGACCAAAGCCACTACTTCAGTCCAAGAGCATCTCAATGCTTATTTACCAATACAGTGATTTCAGAGTTTCTGTTCAAGCAGGCAAAAGGAGAACCAACTGGTTAGTGTGAAGCATTGAGGGGTTTTTTTGCATCCAACACACTGGGGAAAATGAAGAAAATCCCTTTGGCATAAGAAGGGAAACCGAGAACACACAAGTCTCTAAAACATGTTTCAACTGATGGCCTGATTTCTTTGCCAATGACACAATTTTACATCAAAAAAGTGGCACATGTAAAATTGAGCCTTACTGCTCTTTAAGTTGGGAAACGAGGCATCCAGTAGGAAACCAATTCTTTCAAGCATCTATGTGCTACAGGCATAAACTGCAAGTCCAGGTTCTATGTCAGTGAGGAGGACTTCCAAAAAGTAAGTAAAACTCAAGTCTATCTGCTGAGTACTCAAAGTCCACTGAGCACTCAAATCCTCTGGCCACTAATTCCTTGCCTTTCATCACTGTAATGTAGCAGCCTGGAAAGAGAAACTCACTAGATTCCTAACAAATTTTCACCTGAATTCACACTTTCTGCAATTTCTCAAAGACTTTCAAGTCAGCAAGGCTCCAATAGTACAAACAGCGAGTACCGTGTGGCCAGGGAACCACCGACCTGGGGTCCCAGTCAATCCCACTGTGCTGCACAATTGCACTGGTTCAGACCAAAAACCCATGTAAGTCATGGTCCTCTCCTGATAGTAGACCATGGGATGCCCAGGGAAGGGAATTAGAGGAGTGCAAGTATAGAGTACCATTTGCCTCCAAATAACCTTCGGATCAGAGATTTACTGACCAGACATATCTTTGTATTGCATTATTATTCACTTTTTCAGCTGCCTCACCTTTAAAGATAAATGCTGCTGTCCTGCAAGAAAGGAGCTTAGGAAACCAGGCAGAGCTTGTTACTAGACAGGGCAGATGTAATATGTTTTGGAAGGACATTGTCCAAAAATTTACTCTTGTAGAGATATCAGATAACACTTGACAATATTTTCTGTTGGAAGTCAATGGGGAGCTTTCATCAGACTCAGAAAAGCTCAGCCCCTTATTAAATGGACAAAGTGAAAGGAAAAAGAGGAAAGGAGATCAACTGCAAGCAGTAATAAGGACTATAAGTAAAGGTAAAATCCCTCTTTGTCAGAGTGCAAACAGAGAAAGTTTGGGGGTTAGCAGGCTGTGTATGAAGAAGTGGTGTAGGTGTTACTGTTGGCCAGCAAAGGACCCACACTGCCAGGAACATGCAGGTCCTGCAGCTGGCTGGGAGCTCAGACCTGGCTGGGAAGGACCTCTTTCCAAACAGGACAGCAGGCCTGTGGAGAGCATTACTCAGCTGATCAGCAGGAAAACTGCCAATGGAAAGAGAAACTTTCCTTCTCACAGGAAGAAAAGCAAAAAAACTGTGGGCATTTCAGAGAACTGCTGATGGAAACAGATGGAGATGTTGGCCAAGAAGTGGAAAGACCTCAGCTCGGAGAACATCCCCCATGTGAGGAGACACCACAGAGGGTTACAAGGACAGACTGCCCTAGAGAACCAGATGAGATCCTTGTTCTGGGATACTTAAGATCTGCTAATGCCTTCCATTTTCCTTCTTTTTGATTTTGCCTTCATTTCTTCTCTACTCTCTTCCATCTTAGATGGAAGCAGAAGAAAATACCAAAAATAGAAGACAACTGAGTTGCAACTACCATTCACACAAAGAGTCAAAGGAGGGCGGTAAGAAATGGTTGAAAGTCGTTACTACACAGATCCAGAGGCCCTCAAGCTTTCTTTGCAACCTGTCCTGTCTTTTGGGAAATTAGCAGTGTGATGTTCTGTTCTCTGTTATAAAGACACTGAAGAACAAGTCACTTATGAAGCTGACCGTGAGGTCCTTCAAATACTTGTGGAGATTGTTTGGAAAGGAAGAAGTATGTCAAACATTTTCTTTTACAATTTCAAGTACAAAGTTATCTTTGAAGAAAACTGCAAATTTTGTCTATAACCTACCCAAACTTTTAAAGAAAGTCCAAGTTGCCAGTACGTGTGAAAGACACTGGTATCACACATAGAATGGCAGCTTTACTTAACCCACTGCTTTATTCATCTGCCAATTGACGTAACGAGGTACAATTTTGCAGTGGTGTTGATGAGCAAGTACTTGACGCTGAGAACACAAGAAATTTAGGTTGGTCAGAAGCTTTCAGAAAAAGGACCTTTCCTAACTCATCCATTAGGTGGTGCTCCAAGAGTACCAACGGAGAAGGCTTTGCCGCTCTTCAGTAGCTCCAGAAGGAGCAGAAATATGCTTGATAAGCTTCAAACTATGGTAGCAAAAGTTGGACCATAGCAGGGCACACATTCAGGAAACAATTTAACATATGACTTTCCCTTCTTGAATGTGTAACATCTCTGCAAAACACACTGTTTACATTGCTTTACTTGGCACTTCTAGTGTTCATTGTATATTGGATTAGATCATCTATATTCTTCTCTCATCCTGAGCACGACAAGCAAAAAGTAAATAAATACAATTATTGAGTGTCCATGGTAACCAAACTAACAAAAATAGCTCATTCAGCAAACTGTCAT